AATTATTTTGACCTCTCATTCAAAACTCTGGTATCGATATTTTTTTCAAACAACAACTAATTTAGCTCTTATGTAAAGAAGAAAATAGTTTAAAAAATCAAATTGGTGGTTGATGATAGGAATCCTACTCCGGCATTTCACAAAAACAAACGATGGCGCATTTACATGTTATCTTTTTTTCAACAATAAAATGAGATTTTCATTCAAGTAGGATAGAACAATTACAATGAAAAAATATAAAAGCCTTTAACTCAGGTGGGAGATAGCTAACCCGACTCAGTGGTAAAGAGTTTTTCATGGCTAATGCTGCAACCCAATGGGCAACTATATTACTGGCTCTTGGCTTGTGTAAAAAGCTAATATTTAGCAACCTATCATAGTGTCTAGAGTCTTCAATGAATGTAGTGATTCCCCATGGGGGAATATCCTCAGTTGAGCTTAGTTTAATGACTTATAATTTATCACTCACAATGGTGACATCCTGTAATTGGAACTGCTGCTGCCTCTATATATAAGCTTGATACTACTAGTATGGTCTTTGCAATTCCCTCCATTAAATGCCCCGCCTTATACCTAAGAATCACACCAACTCAAGCTTCTGAGCAATTGGACTTATAAGTCCCATCACAGATTATAGTAAGGTCTTCTTCTAATTGGGTCTGCCTATTTTTCATAAATGTTGCAGTGTTGGGCATTTGAGATTGACTTTTTCCTTCCACTAGTTTCAATTCCTTCCACGTGTTCTGTGCTCGGATAATTGTCGCATAAGCATTAGGTTCTTCATTAGAGAAGACTTTTTGATTCGGTGCCTTCCAGATCATCCATCCAAACCAAACTCTACTTGTCCAGTCACACCCAAATAAAATATACTCAATGGACTCGAGTTCTTTCTTGCATATCTGGCAGATGGGAGAAGATGCACACTTTCTTCTATAAAATTTCTCCTAAGTTATAAGGGCATTGTTTTAGGCTTTCCACAAAAAATGCTTAACTTTTAGGATAGCTTTCATATGCCACAACACGTGCCACAATGTGGAATGTGGTGCAAAAGATGAGCTGGCCTCCACAGAGGAGATGTTTGAGGTTAATGCCATTGAATACCCTGACCTTACGTTGTAAACCCTTTTGGATTTGGCTGCCACATTCTTTTGCAATAGAGGAATAGATTGAATAACCTTTTGTTCCTCTGAGGTGAACGGATTTCCAAATTGAAAAGGATCCCACTCATTCTTACTTTGGTTTATAAGGCTACTCGCCTAAGTCATAATGTTATTTTGTGGCTTGATACTGGCTATTTGGAAGCCTAGGATTTGGGGAATCCATTTATCTTCCCATATGTTAATCGCATTGCCATCTTTAACTTTTCATATGAGACCTTTGTCTAATAATTCTTTTCCTTGCAACAAGGTACTCCATATTTAGGAAGGCATCGCCTCTTGTTTGGCTTTCATCAAGTCACATTCTAGGAAGTATAAGGAATTTCAACCAAAAGGCATTGGGATTCTGAATTATCCTCCAGCTTGCTTGGCTAAAAGGGGTTAAAAAGTTAAATGTCCTTGAAACCCCTTCCTCCTACGCCCCTTCGACTTAGCCATACATCCCCATCTCTTTCAATTGATATCCTTTTTCTATCCTCCTCCTCACCACCAAAAATTCCTGACGTAGCCATTAAGCTTGTTGCATAAGTTTTTTTGGGAAAGCTACCATAGACATAGCGTAGTTTGGAATAGCCCATACAACTGCATTGATCAACACCTCTTTGCCTGCACGTGAAAGACATAAACTCTTCCATCCTTGCATCTTTTTCAATATTCTCAAGTAGATAGCCAAATACCTCATCTTTTGACCTTCTTCAAAAAGTTGGTATGCCTAAATATTTAAGGTTTTGGGGTAGAGGTTGCATTCCCATTAGGTTGCAAAAAAAAGCTTCTTTGCACCTTTGTTGAGTTAGAGGAGAAGATAATTCCTAACTTCTATTGATTGGTACAATGTCCTAAGACTTTGCAGTATATTTCTAAAGTTTGCATTAGATGGATAAGTTCATGCTCTTTTGCTTTGACAAATATTAGTGAGTCATTTGCAAAAAAACAAATGGGAAATAGTAGGACTTCTTCTCTTGACCTTAATACCCATGAATTTTCTCTCCTTTATTCCTTTTGAATCATTGTCGAAACTACATTAGCAATCAGAATGAAGAGGTTGGGGGAAATGGGATCCCCCCCCCCCCGTCTGATTCCCCTTTGTGGCTTGACTATAAATCTCTTTTCTCCATTCACGATCACTTGAAATTTTACTATACTTACATATTGGAGGACCAAGTGTATCCAATGAGAATCAAATCCCATCCTTAATATTATTGTTTCAAAAAATTCCATTCAACCCCATCTTGTTTTTATCTAATTTTATTGCCATATATGAAATTTTTCCTTTCTTCTTCAATTTCAGATGGTGGAATACCTCATTTGCCACAATAATGTTGCCTTAAATTTTCCTATTAAGAAAACATACTGCTTAGTTGTGAGAAATTAGAGAGTTTAGGGCACCTTTCATCCTGTTCGCCATTACCTTTGAATTATCTTGTACCAAAAGTTGTAAAGGGTGATGGGTCTAATTGAGCAATTGTTTCTCGCGCATTTTCCTTTGGAATGGGGATAATTTTTATTCTTTTAATTTTGCTCAAGAGAAAGCCCCCTTTAAAAAAAACGTCTAATTACACAACAAACCTTATTGCCCACTACTTGCCAGTATCTTTGACAAAATATCCTTGGAAAGCCTTCTGGTCCTGGTGTTTTGATAACCCTTAACTGCTTCACAACTCAAAACACTCCATCTTCTGTAATTGGCCTAAGAAAAGCTTGGTTTATTTCTGTAGTCACTTTGTTTTCCATCACACTTTGGGCCTCATTGAAATTCCTTTGTCCATCTGTTCTGAAAATGTTTTGCAAATATTATTCGATATGGATATTTAGATCTTCCTCCTCTTCCAATCATATTGCCTCATTGTTTTTAACCTCAAAATTTGGTTCCTTTGTCATTTTTGGAGTTTAGTTAAATGGAAGAAATTAGTGTTCTGATCCCTTGCTTCCAACCAGTTTATGCGTGATCTCTACATCCAGAATTTCTCTTCTCTAATCAAAATGTTATCAATTTGGAGCTTACTTCAGGCTTCTCGCCTTAGATTCTCCTTGTAGCTTCCTTCATTTGGATGCTAACTAGCTTGTCTTATAATTCCTTCAGAATCTTCTTGTTGTTCCCAAATTTCTAATTGCTCCAGCTTCTCCATTTAGTGCTGCATCTTCGTAGTTTCCAAACTGTAGTAAACATTGCTGAGCGTTTAGTAACTTCTACCAAACTTTTCCTGATAAATTTCTCACAAACTATATCCTCCATCCACATGACCTTAAATTTGAATGAATAAGAGATCTTTTTTGGTGTGATATCTAAATCTAGAATAATGGGGTAGTGATCTGACCCTATTCTAATTCTATGATATACTTGTGTATATGGATAAATGTCTCTCCATTTTGCATTAATAAGCATTTTGTCCAACCTTTCTTGCACATTTGTATTTCCTGGTCTATTATTTGACCAAGTATATTTGGGTCATTTGAAGTCCAAATTCATTAGATTGCAATCAAAGATCATGTGTTGAAGTTACTCCATCTTTCTTGCACTATTGGGCCTTCCCCCTTCTTTCTCCCATAGAGAGCCAATTACATTGAAATCCCCTACAACAATCCAAGCCATGGTTGTAGTTGCAACCAGAGCTTTCAAATATTGTCAAATTTTCTATCTTTTGTTATAATCTGTTGCAGCATATAGGAAGGTAGACTGCCAGACAATATAATATTATTGTAGACTACATATATAGAATTGATCATAGTCTTATTTCTTAAATCCACTTGCATTCTAATTTCCTCCCTCCACCATAACGCCAATTTGCCCGATAATCCACTAGGTTCCACGTATTCACTATTTGGGTAGTTTAAGGGTCTTCTCAATCGTTCCAACTTATGACTTATATTCTTGGTTCCATAAGAAAAACAATCAAGGGGTGATGGGTTTCGATTAAACCTCTCAGATTGTAGACTGTTCGGGGTCACCCAACTTCCTAACAGTTCTATGATAGAATTAACATGGGGCGTATGGTTGTTTGAGGCCAATCACCATAGCCTTTTCCAAAGACATAGAATCTTCTTCATCTCCAAGTATTGTACTTGGAATTTGAGATGTCCACTAGGACATGCAGAGATTGAGGTTATTCTCATCTTGTTCTTCCTGGGAGTTGTTCTCCCTATCAAAGGGGATTTACTCATATTTCTCTGTTGTTTCTTCTATGTAGGTAAAGTAGATTTCTGAATGTGTTCGTGGATCCTGGTTTCTTCTTCTTCTATCATTTGTCTTTCTAGGTTGTTTCCTTGCTTTGTATCTCTCCTTACTATTGGAAAATTTTAGGAGGAAGGTTAATTGGAGTCCAAACTGAGGCAGAGATTCAGAGTTTTACCCTAGTTCAGAGCAAGGAATTAATCGTTGTTTTTTTCCCAGCATCCAAAGGTTCTTCTAACTCCTCTTCACTCACTCGAGCTTTACTTTTTAATGACATTTTTTGAAAGCTTTGTTCTATTTATCATCATATTGTCCCTTTTGCGCTTTAGAATTACAGGTATGATCCATTGGCTTTTTGATCTAGGTTTTTTGGCTTTGTACATGAATGGGCTCTTGAGGAAAATTAGGACTGTCAGGGGGTTCTATTACAAAGAAAGCTTCCTCTTTTGCTTTTTCTTTAGATGATGAGTTTCTCTTATTAACTTGTTGGGTCCAGACTAAATGGGCTTCTAGGATTTGAGGGGATATACCTATTTCCTTTGATTTTATCCTTCTAATGATGCTGTAAAATTAGAGCTAACTTATCATCGAATTTTGTGCTTTCTACTGGGTGATTTTGGTTAATCATAGATAGTCAATGTGTTTGGAGGGTTTTTGTTTGTACGAATCTGCAGATCGTGGTGTTGTAACATTCTCTAGGGGACCATTGGGACGGCCTGGCGATACAGCGCATGATCCTAGCAGAGCTATTGGTGACTCCCGTGCCACCATCACTTTTCCTTCTCCGGCTTATTATGATCAGTTCTTCACCTTTTCCAATTTAATCATATTCTCTCGAGCTTTAACTGACCATGTTTCCCTGAAAAAAGAGGTCATTTGGATGCTTTGAGCTCTCATTTCTAGTCCATAATTCTCCTGAATTTTTCTCAGGTTTCTTTCTATTCATAAAGTTTGACTATGCCCAATTCACCCACATGGGTAACAGAAGTCCGATAACCTTCCATACTTAAAGTTAATCCATGGCTCATCTTTCTCATCTCATTCTAGATAGAATCCCTTTTTCAAAGACTCATTTAGATTTACTGCACACACTTAACTTTTAAGAAACTACGGTGAATGAGAATATTACCTTCAACTCCTCTAATTGTGTAGGTTCCCCATTACCATTCCAATTCTCCAGGAGTTGTTCTTCGTCATCAAGTCAAGAGTTAATCCCCACATTTGTACCCAAAATTCCATGCTTCTAGAGTCATAGTCTCTTATCGTGCATTATGGATTGCATTTTTTCAGTATAAACAGAGCTCTCATTACTAACCATGGGCCTTCACTATATATTTTGTTTCTATCATCTTCAACTTTGAACATAAACGTGAAAGTGTTCTTTTCCCAATAGGTTATGGAGAACTTCATTGTTTTCCATGGTCCTTGTAGTACATTATAGACTCCTTGCCTATTTAAGAATGTCTATGTTAGGAATTTCCCTATTAAGCATGATTGTTGTACCTCTTTGGAAGTTGAAGGGTTGGTATAGAGAGAAATATGTGGGTGGTTTACGGTTTGAGAATTGGTTTCAGATTCATTTTCTAATTGGTAAATGTTTTGTTGAGGACAGGGGAAGCTGGAGAAAAATTGGCTATGGAAAAATATTATATAGGTAAGTTGCTGCAAGATGGAAGGTTTGGGGATTCAAAATTTTTAGTAAAAACTTGCAGCTATTAGGATTGAGACTATAGACAACATGAGTTTAAGGACAACGATGAGGGATTTGTTAAAGAAAATGAACTATCAATGGAGGTTTTGAGAGAATCCCCACAAGTTGGACATAAAGGTCTAGACTCTTGGGAATTAGGGATTCACTAAATATGGAACAGTGGGAAGAGAAAAGGTACATTAAGGGAAGCGAGGGTTTCATTGGAGATTGCTTTGGGAGTAGAAAAGTGGCTAATCATCGGTTATGGAATACCAAGGACTGCGATGGAAACTCAGTAAAAAACCCTAGGTGAGAGTAGAGAGCTTCTATAGGAAAGGAGGGCCTATTGAGTATTTAAACCATTGTCCATTTACACATTGATAGAAAGCTTGGGTTGTTGTAGTTATCCCCTCATGTATATAATTTAATGCTCCAAAATTATATTTAATCTCTAGGTAATTATATTTTTGCTTAAAATTAACGGTGGCACATTTACACCTTGATAGTGGATAGTTGTAGTTTTCCCTTCCCTTTTATAATTTAATGCTCCAAAATTCTTTTTAATCTTTAGGAAATCATATTTTTGCTTTTGAAATCAAATTAAAAATGACATTGATAACCATTTAATGCCCATAATGACCCACTAGAGCAAACCTATTGGGCAAGGCATGGTCCATAGGTTTTTGGGGAGGTTAGCTTAATTACTTTTATTGTCTTGGGCCATTGACTACCAGTCCAGGTAGTCCATCTCGATCGGTGGGCCTTAGTTTTGGTGAAAAATTTAGATGAACAAAGAAGTGTGTGTTGAGGTAATAAATGTAAAATCCAAGAAAATTTAAAATTTTATTATGAAGGGCAAAACGGTAATTAGTCATTACAATGCATGAGGAAACAAACCTCACCGTTGGATTCATATCGTGAATTCTAGCTATCCAGTCATTTTTTGTTGAATTTTGATATTGTCAAATTTTTTGCGTTTTACGAGGTGATCGCGTATCACGTGACTAAATTAAACGTGATTAGATTTATTTGCGAAACTCAGGAAATAATTTATAGTTAGTTTAATAAAAATGTATTGAATCTAAAATGAGACGAGATTTATTTGATTTGGAACAAAATCGAATCAGAAAAAGACGAGATGTGTGGCTTAATAAAACCAAGCATTGGAGGATATAAATAGGAGAGAAAATCAAAATTTCTCCCCATTTTACAACTGCATTTCTAAAAAAAGAGAGAGAGGAAGAGGAGAGAGAAAAGCTAAGGTTCTTCCATCTTCTTCCTCCGATCTATGACGATCCGACCGTCAGATCTCTTCAGGCCAAAACAAAAGTTGTTCTATGCGACGAGAGCTATGTGTACATACCAAAGATCATGAGTTTGTCATGAACCTCAAAGAAGGATTTTTGGATTAAAGCCTTGAGGTTTGATTTGAAATTTTTGGAACTTCTTCTGTGTAAAATTACACTACAAGAGGTAGGAATCCTTTCCTAATTAGGTTTATTTCTAACCTTGGGTTAAAATATGAAATGGATAGTGTTAGACATGAAATCTCATGTATAACACATACCTAAGGTTGTTAGAATATAGAAATAGGTATAAGAATATGCTTAAACCAAATCTTGCATGATTGAGTTTTGATGAAATTGCTTGGTTATGAATCTCATGAAGAATGTGATGTTTTGGGCATGCTATGTATTTACATAATCTATGTACCTTATATGTGTTTAAATGTCTATAAATGATTAAGTGTGTTATTTGAAATAAAAATGACATAACATGCTTAGTGGAAATTGCGGAATGTAATTATATACTTTATGATATAATGGAAATTTGAGAAATAGGAAATGTTTATGGAGATTGAATATGCTCATGATATAATGAACATGATATTGTAATTGCAATTGTACCTTACATTTGCATATGCACAAGTAATGTTGCATTTGTGGGCAGTCGACATGAGTATGGATATGTGTGCATAGTTTTGATCAAATACCATCCTTGGTGGGTTGATACGTGGGCTCGAAAAAGTTGGATCTAGGTTCGACTGAGTTGCACGAGTTGCATTGAAAATAAGAGTCGGGGTTAGCAAGAATGACTAGATTCTTCCTTGGGTGCAAGATCCGATAATTTTGGATACGCACTCTTGTTGGTATTGAGTCCACAAAGTGTGTCAGCATACGTGGAGCCGTTGGTGGAAGTCTATAAATGTCGTATTGGTTGGGTACCCGTTAGCGGAAGTTCATAAATATCCATTCCAAGAAAGACCTAAGATTTTACAAAATGGTCATTGGATGTCTAACAATAATGGTGGAGACTTGGAATACTCGGATGCATACGTATAACATTACATATGTTATGGGAGCTGATGGAGGGCTGTGATTGCATTTATGTGTGAGTTCCATCTCATGACATGACATGAAAGGTGTAGCATTCATTTATGAAAATGTAGATTCTTGAATGAATGAATTATGTGATGAATTACATGAGACATTTTACATGCATCTGGGTTAGGGAGTAGCCTCCTTAGCAGATACTCTATTGAGTATGATTCACCATTTATGAGAACATATTTCAGGTATTGGACAAGCACTGGTGGATGGCCCTCACTTGGGCCTATGTCGATTACGGAGCCAGATTGTGACTCTTAAGTTGTATTTTTTTTGTAATTGATTACGTAATTGTTGCGTGGACTTGTAATTTGGCAAAAAAGACATGTAATGAACTTATTTGGACCATGTTTTGATGTAAATGAATGAATGGATGAATATGAAAAAAGTTTGGAAGAAGATGAGTGAAAAATTGGAAGGAGTAGGGAAAATTTGGGTTTAGGTACCGGTACTTAGGTTCATAGGTACTGGTACCACGCTGTCTGATGACTCAGGTACTGGTACCTAAGCTAATAATAGGTACCTGTTCCTAGATTTTAGTGGGCTCAGGTACTGGTACTTAAGGCCTAGGTAACGGTACCTCGATAGACAATGGATTTAAGTATCAGTACTCATGCTCACAGGTACCGGTACGCCACAAACAGTGGGCCTAGGTACTGGTACCAATGCTTATAAGTACCGTTAGCTGGAAAACATAAGGCTCAAGTACCGGTACCACTTACATGATGTACTAACACCTCTTTCCAAAACTTAAAATTGTAAAAATGTAACACTGAGGGACCCTAATAATCTTGAACGCACTTTTATGGATGATGTAAATGAATAATAATAAGCTTATATGTTAGGATATGGACCTTGCAATGGTTGCATGGTTAATATGTGTACAGATTATAGACTGGGTAGGGCTTTCGTACAAAGGAGACTCTGCCCAAGGTTTGTTATAGTTTTGATCATGGTGAATGGGATGTAAATGACGTGGTATTGGATTATGCGGTACTCACAGGTATTTTCGCGGATTGATGGCTGATTAACGAATTGAGAAAGGACTCCTAAATTTTGGGGTGTCACAATAAATGACATTTTATGACGTGGTTGAAAATGGTGAGATAGTGAAGGGATGGAGATTGGAAAAAATAGATACCAAGTAGTGAATAGTTGTGGTGTTGCTCGATTATTAATAAAAGGGTTAATTACAAAATGCTCCTCTAAGTTTGGGTCATGTTACAATCGACTCCCTCATATTTCTAATTCGATAATTTGCCCCCTTAATGTTTGAATAATTTTCAATTAACTCTTACTGTTAGTTGACTACCATTAAAATTGACGAAAATTTATCAAAAGTCCACAATTACACTTATCTTAATATTTTGTGTAAAATTAAAAATAAAAATAACCAACTCACCAATGAAACCCACCTCCCTCCTTACCTCCCTCTCTAGTGAAACTGAAACCCACCCCCACTCAAAACAATTGAAATCCCTCCCCTCCTAAGTTGAACCCACCTCCCTCCTTCTCCAGTAAAGTTGAAACCCACACCCACCCAAAACAATTGAAATCCCTCCCCTCCTCTAGTGAACCTACCTCTCTCCCCCTCTAGTGAAACTGAAACCCCTTACCCAAAATAATTGAAATCCCTCCCCTCCTTTGGTGAACCCACCTTTCCCTTAACTGGTAATACCCAAAACACCCATATTCCCCCACCCCCATACAATTCGCCAGTGAAACCCATCTCCCTCCACCTCCAGTTAAACCTAAACCTCGATGAAACTGAAACATCCATACACCAAAAACAAAACACGGAACCAACTACCC